CCCTACAAACTTTCCTTAAACAAAGAAGGCCTGTGAGACATGCTGGCTTCAGAGATGGATGCTGTGAAGTCTGTGATCCTGACGGATTGTCTGTTAGTAATTTGTGTCTGCTAAGAATGCTTCAATGGACACCTTTGTTTTCTGACATGACAAATATGTGTGAGTTGTCTTTGGTATGCCAGGAGAGCATTGTTTGCGCTTTCCCTTCCACACGAGTGCAAGTGAAAACAACCACCACAGGTGAATAAAACCAACGATTCTGCTAGATTTCTTATTTATCCAAAGAGTTTAGAGTTTGCTTCTCATTTAAATTAAGAAACGCATATATGCCTCTATGTTCATTAATATACAATATGATATACATGTTCTAAATGTTATCTAACATATAAATATCCTGCTCTGTATTGTGCTTTTTTTTTCTTAGCCACATATGGTGGATATGTTTTTATGTCACAACATACACGTAGCTCTACCTCATTCTTTTTTTTTTAATTTAAATTTCTTATTTTTTTAGCTCTACCTCATTCTTTATATTATTGCCACTCCTTCAGCTACTGTAGCCTTTACACTCACTGACACTGAGTCCACATTAAGGATACACTGTGATTTAAGTTGTTTCCAAATTTTGCCTTTATAAACAACGCTACAACAAGCATCACTGTCCTTAGGTCTTTGCACACTTGACTAATTATTTCTCTACAGTTCAATCCTAGAAGCAGAATTCCTAGCTCAAGGGATGTGCATATCCAAATGCTAATATACCTTGCTGATTATAAGTGAGGTTTTAGGGAGGAGTCTGCACAGCATGGAGCAGGTTAAGACCAACCACCGCCAGACCTACTACCGACTCGCTGCGTGACCCTGGCTAAGCCACTCCCCCTCTCTGGTCCTCTGCTGCCATTAAGTGAGGGCAGTGATCTCTGAGGGTCATTCCAGCTTTGGTGTTCTGTAGTCCTGCCATATCCTGTGGCAGGGAAGGCTTAGGGCGGGTCAGAGGATGAAGGCGCAGGGACTCACCCTCAGGTGGGTGCCAGAGATGGGGTCTGGAGTGACCGGCTTCCATTGCTCAGAGCCTTCCTCCTGGACACTCAAGCAGTAGCCTGTGACTGGTCCGGCCCCTTGGTACAGTGGGGGCTCCCATGTCAGCATCAGGGAGGTGGCCCGCACTTCAAACGCCCGCACGCCATACGGGGGTCCTGTGGGAAGACAGGGTAGAGAAAGAGATGGATATCCAAATGGTCAGCCAGCCAGTCAGGCAGTGGGCGGGTGGCGAGTCAGCGAGCTTGTCAGTCTTTCAGTCCCAGCCAGGCCTGGAAGTGCCTGCTCCGGACATGGTGGGGACCTGGCCGGCCTTGGCTTCATGGCGAAGCTTGGTCTGTGTCTGAGGTAGAGTTAACTCTTCAAAGTGTGCGCAGTATCACTTCCTCTGGGAAACATCCTTGAGCCTCCCCATCCCTGTCCCAGACAGCATTAATCTTTCTAATCTCTTTGCCATTTCAGTATTTAATGTAGAACCTCAGGGTGTGGACTCCAGAGTCAGATCACTGGGGTTCATGTCCCAGCGAACACCCTTTTTCAGGCTATGGGGACTCTGGGCAAGTTACTTAGCCTCTATGTTCCTGTCTCCTCATCGGTTAAATGGGGATAATAATAGTTCTTATAAAATAGTGCTGTCGTGAGCATTAATGACATAACTTATGCAAAGTGTCAATATATAGTAAGTACCTAACAAATAGCAGTTGTTTATAACTGCCGTTGTCTAAAGCATCACGCATAGTGATTATCTGCCACTCAGGTAAAGGTTTTGTGCAGAAAACAGAACTGAGCTGAACAGAATGGTGGAAGGTTGTCATCCTTCCTTCCTAAGGGGGAGATGAAGGGCTAGTTTGTGAGAAGGCTGATGGTGCTGCGGGAGCGGTGCAGAGGGGGACCAACCTGCCCTGTTTGTCCAGGATTAGGACACAGGACTTGCGGTGGTAATACTGGGAAAGTCCTGGGCAAACTGGGACGAGTTGGTCACCTAGCAGTGTGCCTTTGGGATTTGAGATTGGTCTGTGTTGAGAATCGGAGCTCAGATGGGGTGTTGAGCTAGAGGATAGTTTGGATGGGGGTACAGGGCCAGTCAATGGCCAAGGTCAGGGCTCTTGACTTGGCAGAGTTAAGACTGTGTCAGAGGTTACAGGGGGCAGGGGTCTGGGGTTTGGGACCAACAGAGCAAGCCTGAGTGCACAGCGAGCCCGGCGGTAGCGGTCATCTTGTTTGTTTGTTTGGGGGAGGGGAGGGGAGGGCAGGTGCTGGGCTTTGGCACCTCCCAGCCACTCACCTGGCTGAGGCATCGTCCACTTTTTGCACTCAAACAGGCTGCTGGGTGCCGACAGCTCTCCAACACCAGCCCAGTTTACTGCCCGGGCACGGAACTCATAGAAGTGGCCTTCATGAAGGTCACTGACCTTGAAGAGCAAAAGCACAGACCGTGAAGGCTGAGGCTGTGCAGGCAGGGGAGGAGGGTCACAGCAGGAGGTCTATAGGAGCTTCACATAAGACTGGTCTGCACTTGACAATAGCTGGATTATCGAGGCCTCTCTCAGCCTCAGGACCTCCAACCCTGACCCCCACTCTCCACCCACACAAATCAGGACACCAGGCCAGTGGCCGCATTCCAGCCTCACCTTGCACATCTGGGTGGGGATGGGCTGCTGGTTGACCGAGTGCCAGTCCAGTTGCTCTGAGTCGTGTTGGTCCAGGAAGTAACCCAGGATCTTGCCCCCTCCACGCCGCTTAGGGGGTTTCCACCCAATGACCATATAATTTTCCCCACAGTTCAGGAGGGCGAAGTCATATGGAACAGATGGTGTAGCTACGGGGAGGCAAGGGGGTGAGGGCCACTGCTCCCGAGGGGCGGACGGACTGGGCAGTGGGGCCCGAGGGAGGCAGCAAACCTCCCCCAGTGGGTGCCCACCCTGCTCTGGGGCACAGACTTAGCCAGTAGCGTCCACTGGTAATGCTGACTCAGCTACGTGCAGGGCACCTGGGCCTCCGAGCTGGTCAGACTTCACCCCATGGCCTCAGGCCATTGTTACTTCCGCCCCAAAGGAAGGGGTGGTCGGCGTCAGCAGCAGATCCCCTGAGAAGGCTTCTGCCCCATGGCCTCTGGAGTTGGACCCTCCAAGAGGTGGTCGATAAGCCCCCTGCTCTCTACTCAGCCCAGGTCTGTCCCCAGAGGTGTGCAGGCTGCACCTGCCCCTTGGACTTACCCAGAGCCTGCTTGACCTTGATGGGTTCGGTGGCGGCTGAGCTCTCCCCAACGCCAGCCTCGCTGACTGACCTGATACAAAACTCATGCTCCTTCCCTGTCCTCAGTCCGGGAACTGTAAACCTGGGAGAGAAATGTATGGCCTTCAGGAAAGGCCAAACCAGCAGCATGGAGACATTCCTGAACTTTCTAGAACAGCCTTGTGGGGATAACTGGCCACCAGCGTGGAAGGATTTGAGGCCTCAGTTCTTGCCTAAAGACCTTGCCCCTGCCCCCAGAGTGATGCCTGCCCCCTAGAGGATGAGGTCCTTAAGGTTTTAAAGGATGTAGCTTCCAGAGCCCGTCATTAAGATGCGAATACACTGGGAAAGTTACCAGTTGAAGGCCCAGGTAGCCAACCCCTAAACTGAGCAACCTGGGACATCTCTAGGACTTTGAGCCTCGTCCTGGAAACACAACAAATGGCTCTTCTTATCTGTACGGATGCTGTGACTAAAGCACAGAGTCCTTTTAAAGACCTCTGAATTAGCAGCCAGAAACATAAAAGGACACTCTGGCTTACAGGAAAATGTCCTCCGATCCTGTCTCTTCTTTTTTTTTTTTTGCGGTACGCGGGCCTCTCGCTGTTGTGGCCTCTCCCATTGCAGAGCACAGGCTCCGGACGCGCAGGCTCAGCGGCCATGGCTCACGGGCCCAGCCGCTCCGCGGCATGTGGGATCTTCCCGGACCAGGGCACGAACCCGTGTCCCCTGCATCGGCAGGCGGACTCTCAACCATTGCGCCACCAGGGAAGCCCCTGTCTCTTCTTGATAAGATCCAAACTGTGAACCCCCCTTTTCCCTTTTCACTTATCAACATTTTCCTGTAGCAAATCTTGCTCTACAGGGAGCTTCCCTTGGCCAGTTGACCCCGAGGAGTTGAATGTTGGAATGTCAGAGGGGCCTTTATGGATCAAACCATCCAGTTTCTTCATTTTACAGGTAGGGAAAGGG